CATTGATAACCCATGGTCAGCTTCCTACTGCTCTGCGGTATGCGCCAAGTATACGCGAATCTAGGCATGTAACTGCTATGTACCTGGCTGCACTCGCGTATACTCGGCGTCAAGTCCTCGCAGTGTTCCCTCCGATCACTCACTTCCTTTGGAATAGCACATTCTTCTTCTTCTTCTAAGCTCATTTTAATTGAAGGCTCTTTTGCCCAATAAAAACTACTCCTGCTGAGCTCGCTTTAACTCTGTTCTGTCGGCTCAAACTCTTCGTCCGAGTAATAGTGTTCGATTAGCCATTGTTCAGCCGACGTCGGCCGGCTCGGTGCTGCGAGATCGGCTGTTCAACTGAGCGCATCGCCGAACGCCCATGGGACCGAGACGCTTGACTGACGCATCTGACTAACGGTCAGATTGTTAGTGGTCAGACGGCCAGGTTCGCTAATCGTGTAATTAATTTTTTACCACCATGCTTTACAGCGTTTTACGCAGAGACGGATTTTAATTGGAAACGCAAACGGCGTGCGTTCTCGTTGCCTGGTCGAAGACACGCGTTTCGCACTTCTGCAGTGAGTTCGTTCACCAAGCCTCGCTTCCTCGAAGGTCGCATGTGGCGCAGCCTGAGCTTCAAATTTTAAGTGCCACATGTCCAGTTTTGTGCTCGATTACGAAGTTGCTATCGTCGCTGAATTTGTCACAAATTGTCATATGCACTCTATCGACCCCTCTGAATCCGACAGCATTGTTCAGTTGGTAGAATGCTGCACTTATAGCCGAGAGACCTTTCGACTATTCTTCGTTCTGAGGAGGTTAAATGAGCTCTTATTTGGGTGAGGTGACACCCCTTACTACGCTCGCCACGTGGCTGCTGCCGCTTTACCTTTTAAATAATTCCTCTTGGTCGATGACTTTTAATGATGCTCAACGCGACGCCGTTAACTTCATGAAACGAAGGCCCCACAGATGACCCTTTCGTGAAAGTGTAACGAAGATCGACATACCAGCCATTGCGTATTTTTCTTCCTCCTTCCTCGGTCCACTGCTTAGCGAATTTTCCCAAAGAGTTTCTGAAGAAGTAACATCTATGGCTGTCAAATTCATAAGTTAATGATTAGGCATCGCCACTTTTTCGTGGCTATTTTAGTAAGCATTTTTCGTTTTTGTACGAACGTCATTAGTATGCCGTTATTGATATAGGTGTATAAATCAATATAATTAACGGTTCAAGGACTAGTGTAATTCTTTATTTCGATAGCCTAATTTCTGGAACCGAAGACAATGTTGCTTTTCAAAAGCACAACAATGATGTATATAAAAGTAAAGTACCATTGTCGAAGAAATCAAGTCAGAAACTGGCAAAATGCGATGTCGAAAACTCTTCTGACAGCATTTCTGTCGGCAAAGTCACGTCCACTAACTAATGATTCTTTCAGCAAAAGATTTCACGTCTATAGGAGCCACCCAAGTAGGCCACCACACTGACGTACCTTAGCACCTGCAGTACCAGATGCATTTCGCGTTATTTTGTTCACTCGACCCATGTCACGCTCATTACGAAAGGTGTTTCAGGACATGCTACGGAATGAACATCAAAATATGTTCGTATGCCAGAGTATATGAAATAGCGCATAACTCTTCCAAAACCAAGAAAGAAAATAATACCTAGCATTGGCCTGCTTATGTGAACTCCACTGGGTGACTTGAAGCAACATGACGGTACAGTACGAAGTAAGATCTGCTGTTGGATCGTTATTTGCATTTATTAATTTTTTATGTTTATTTAGCTTCTTTGTGGTTTTGCACTAGTCCCATTTCTTGTAACACCTTAATCAGGTAATCATTTGAGCTTTGCAGTCAAATTCTTGTCAGTGATGTTCTCTTTGGCGGTATTTACCCTTACTTTCCTCTTGTGTTCATTTTAGAACTCCTCTCCTACGGTAATATGCTGCAAAGTTTCAATTACTGCCGTGATAACGATATCATTTTAATATCCCTAAGCGAGTACCAATACTTTGGTCGAAAGCTTTCCTCTTCTGTGAAAATTATACTGACATCGTCCATGGAACTTAACTGGGACGAGGACAAGTACTCTGCTCTGTGGGGATTCACCCTAAGCTCGACGGCGAAGTTATTTATTTTTTATGTTCGATTGATAGTGATTGCGCTTTAGCGTACCTGACATATTTCCAAATCCAATATACCGGTATGCACAGTCACGATCATCATTTTTTCTGTTTTAATTTCATGCAAGTTCTTGTGATTTTTCTGACATACTCAAAACGGCGGGCACGAAATGCAGCCTCAAATTAGT